CCGTGGGAGAGGGCGCGCGGCTCCGCGGGGCTGAGGAATAGTTGGAGGGGGCGGGAGAACCCCGGTAGGCTGAGTTTTCCCGGAGTTGCGAGCAAGCACCAAATCTACTCTCTCGGATCCGTCCGCTGCGCGCCCGCCCTCCCTGCCTCCTCTCCCAGCAGCTGCGCGGATGTGAGGAGCAGGCTGAGAACGCGCCAGAGCCGGGAGCGGGTAAGGCAGGGGAAGCCCCGCCAGCCAAACAGGGAAGCGAGGGGCAGGGCCGCCCAGGCAGGGGATATAGGCTGCTCGGCGCGGAGAAGTGGCCGGAGACAAAGGACCGGAGTGGAGGGGAGAGGGGATCACGGGGGAGAGAAGGCCTGGTGAGATAGGAAGAGAACCACGGAAAAGGGGTCTCTCTGGGACCGGCCGAGGTTCATCTACTCCTGCCACCTCCACCCATCCCAGCCTGGAGCCGGGACGTCCCAGGGGCTCACTCTCGATTGGGTTCCAGAGCAAAGGGCCTGCGGCCTGCGATCGGGGCAGGGGAATGTTGCTGTGGCTATCGGGGTCGTGTGTATGTTTGTGTGTGCGGCGGGGGGTTGCGCGCGTGTGGGGCGCGACAAGGTTCAGGCAGGCGAGGGAGGAGCGGGGAGGGGAGGGCCTTCGTTGTCGGGTTAGACCCCTGCCCCAGGCGGCTGCAAGCCTCTGCCCTCCACCCTCTACGGTCCAGAGCTGTCCATCCCTCGAACTTGAAACAAAAGGGCTGAACCAAATCCCTTAAGGAGTCAGAGCATGGGCTCTTTATGGAAAAAGTGCTTTGGTTTGAAACTTAAAGGGTTACGGCATCCAGGATTATTTCTTAATTTTCTGCAACTGTTCCTGAGGGTGGGGGGAGATGCAAAGTAAATCTCAGACACAAAAAAAGCCCGCATCCCAGTGGTTCGTTCACCTATGTCTGGACGGGCTGACCGTCAGGTCTAGACCCGCGGATAACGAATATAGTGAAGAAACTTACTAATGAAGGGAGGAAGCCTCTTTCAATTTCTAAATCAATTAAAGAGAATTTCTGATGTGTCTCCTTGGGGGCTGAATGCCTCTTGGTGAAGGGATCATGTGAGTGTGAGTGTTGTGAAGGCGTGTTAAGGTGTGTGTGAGTAGAGTGGAGTGGGTGTCTAGGCAAACAGCTGTGTCCCAGGCAGGGCTGAGACAGGAGCTCAGGACCCATATCCAGCACCTCCCCCTCCTCCCTCTGCCTTCGGCTGAGGCTGCACCGAGGCCAAGGCCTCGGCAGCCTCTTCCAGTGGGGCCGCCAATCAATCCTGCAGGTCAACACAGCAATTAATAACGGGGTGAGGAGGCCTGGCAAGAGAGGGCGGGGAGGCATCCGGCTGTGTCTCCCCCTGGCCCTGAGGGCCCGGTGGCAGGACCAGGGAGTGGGAGGGGTCTCTGAGGGCAGAAAGATCCCTGGGAACTCAGTGTGGGCCCAAGGCCCCAGGAGGGAGAGGCAGGGGACCAGCGACAGGGAGTTAGAGAACCAACTGGGGCAGGGCAGCCCCAGTAAAAGGAAAGGCATCAAATAAAAGGCTTATTTTTACGGTTCTGTAAGTAGAGGTGTCGATGGCCAAAGACCACAATTGACCTGGCAGCCGATTTTCTCCCCTTACCTCTCCCTTGGTTTTTTCCTGATGGTCTTCGCTGTTCCCGAGCAGGCTCAGCGAGACTAAATAAACCCGCATCCTTCGCAAACCCGGCTCCCGCAGTTGCGCCAGGGCGTCGGCCAGGCACGCTCGATCGAGCGCGTGTCATTGTCATTTTGAACTAGCCAGATGGGGCTACAAGGGGCGCGGGGGCCCTCTGGGGGAAAAGGGGTCCCGAGGGAGCTAAGCCCTTGCCAGAAGTGTATAAGAAAGAGGTGAGGGCCGAGGAACCGGAGTGACCGGTGGAAAGAGAGAGAGAAGGCGATTCGGAAGGGAACAGAGGTTTCCTTCTCTCAGACCCAGCCCTGCCTCCTGCCCAGTTCGGCAGCTCCTCCCCACCCTTCCCCATGCCAGTCCTGGCGGGAATGTGAGTCCCGCTCCGGCAAAAGCGGGGAAAGGAAAGAAAGGAGTGCGGTGAGAAGCTGGTGCTCCCGGCCGCTCGGCCACGCGCGTGGGAGACAGGCTCCCTGGGCAGACGCAGGTAGGCGCAGGCGCCCCTGGGTAAGCTCCCTCGTCCCTCGTGGAGTATCCCGGACGCCAGGAAACTTGGGAAGACGGCCCTGGGAGGTGCTCAATGATGCCCCCCACTGCTCTGTCTTGTCCTTCCTGAGGCGCTGGGGAGAGGGCCTGGCTGCTTCTTCCCAGAGATTTGCAGGGACTGGGAACTAGGTCCACACACCTCAGGCCTGAAAGGCAATGAGAGCCGCCTTCCAAGAGAGAAAATGGAAAAGTGGGAGTGTTGGGGGCCTGAGCAGACAGGACTGGGAAGGAAGGAGGGGTGAGTGTAGCAGGCGGCTGGAGGCAAAATAAAAAGATTCAGACAGAGTGAAGGAGAGAGAAGCCCTGTGCTGGAGAGGAAGAAAGGGGGAGAGAGTTTCCCAGGAAGGCCCAGCCATTAGGTCTGTCCTTGGGCTGCATATTTATACGGTCGAGGGGGTGCACAGATGGGCTCTCAATTGAATTCCATCTTCAACACCATCAGAGATTGATTTTGTACTCGCTTTTAATTTTGCCATAATTAATTAGATCATTACAACTGTTTGCTATTGATCTCCCTACTTAAACCTCTGGTGCGGAGGGGTGGCCCAGAGCCCTAAAAGCCCAGGAGGCCACAGTAGACACTCCTGGGGGCCCAGGTTCCCCACTGAGGACTAGGCCCCCCAAAGGGGAATGGAGAGCCCAGGGACTAGGCAAAGAAACTATGGGAAGGGCAATGGTGATGGTGGAAACTGGATTATCAGCTGAAAGAACTAGAACCTGAGCTGCTATGGGATGGAGGTGGGGAAGGAAGGTGTTTTGGGGAAGGAGAAGAGTGAGGTGAAAAGGGCCTGGAGTTAGTCCCTGACCTGCGGAATTATTTGAAAAAACTTAGAAACCTGATCCAAACCTATCCTTCCTCAACAATCCAAAACTAAACTTGGGTCCCTGGTTTCCCACCCCAGCACTACACCGGGACACCTAGTGGGCAGATAGCGGAGTTGTTAGGCCTGGAGTCTGGGGGTGGAGGAGAAAAGAGAGAGCAGCCTTCCACTTCCTTAGCCCTTTGGATAAGGAGCTTCAGATTGTCCTCCTCACCAGGGTCCCCTGGGGCCAGCCACCGCTCCTCTTGCCCCAGGCCTCCCTTGAGTTGTTTATTTTGGGAGCAGCCTTCTCTCCACACACATTAGGCACATCTACACCAGTGCTTTCCCTTTGGTTCACACTCAAATACAGAAGACCCTCACACATGTGCACACAGACATGTGCACACAGCATGTCCCCACCCACTAGCATACACGCACAGGCACCCACACTCCATTCCCGCTAGAAACTAAGGCCTTCTCAGTGCTCCCAACTTAAAGGAAGTTGTGCAAAATATTTCTTCACTGAGGGAAAGTGGAAAGATAAAGTCCTAAACGCACAGCAGAAAGGAAACACCAGGTTCGGCAAAGAGACCAGAGGAAGTTGTAAAACTCTCGTTTTCAGGGTGGAAAGTTTTTAGTAGATTTAGAGGACACGAGGAAGGAAGGACTGGAGGCCCCAGCGGTGAGAAGAGGCCGCAGAGCCCCAGTCCCTAGCCATTAGAGTGGCCCCCACCCGGGCAGGCCCAGAAAGAAAGGAGTGGAGTCCCTTGGCTTGGCCATCTCCATCCCTCTCGATCACCCCCCACGCTGGTCCTCCCCGCTCTTACCTGCCTGGCCAGCGCGCTGTTCCATGCTCTGCTCCCCGCCGCTGCAGTTTGGGCCTGGGTCTCGCTTCTCCGCTCCTCCGCGGCCCGACAGCGCGTCTCGCCTTGGCTGCCGCCGCCCGGAGATCTGGACGCAGCCACCCAAGACCGAGCGGCTCAGATAACC